AACACTTCATGATCATCTTCATCAAGCATATCTGAATCAGCTTGCGGCAAGGTTGTCTTAACATCTTTATTTTCATCTGCAATTTATATGCGGTTTCAATTAGTTAAATATTAAATAGATTTTGAGTTTGGACTCTCTTTAATTTTAAAATTATATTTTAAAAATTATTTTTATTTGGCCCACGGGCCGGCCCTACCTATATTTCTCAAGCCCCACAAATCAGCAGGCTTATTCAGGCCGGGCTAAAAAGCCCTTTTCTTAAATGGGCTCCAAAAATATTAGTCCAGCCCTATTAAATCCCGGGTTAGGCCAGGCCGGCCCAACGGGCCTAGCCCATATTGACGGCTCTAATCACAACCATTTGTATATTCTTTTTTCTATTTCTTATTATAATCGTGTTGTTTGAATTAGTTTAGATGTTACATCCATCAGTTTTTTTTGAGTAACTACTACTTTCCACCAACATATGTATCATGTAACTTTGTCCATCAAGATTTGGACTTTGGACAAATAGAAAGAAATTTTGAACTTGAATTGTGTGTTAGGATTTGAACTTGACACCTTATGACTTGTACCCACTTCATTGACTACTAGATTATGCCCTTGGATACAACCATTTGCATCTTTTAGTCTGTCCTAAAAAGAGACCTTATGAGGAAGATGGAGGGTAGTTATGTATCATGTTTACAAATCACTAGTAGCTAAATTTCTTTGAGTTTAATTGCTTTCCTTTCTCGATATTTATTATACTATCCATTTTACTGTGTAAATATGAAAGTATGTCTCCATGTGTGGTACATATATAGGAGTAAATGTTATAATTTTAAAAAGTTACCTTCTCCGTCCACTTTTAATTATCATAATTTTTTTTTTAGGGTCAAACTAAAAAACATCGACTAACATTTTATGATGTATTTTTTTATCATATTGATATGCAAAATATTATAATATATTAATTTTAAAAATTAGTCAAATTGACTTTCGAAAACGAAATATGACAAATAAAAGTAGATGGAGGGAGTAAATTGCAAAATCTTGAAAGTCCCATTGTCGCAATGAGTCCTCACGTGCGAGGTGTTGGGATCTACAGAGCAGTACTCCATAACAGAGCCGCTATGATCTCAGAGATTTTGGATCAAATGGTCGGCATAACGCGCCATCTATGATATATTGATTATTTGACGTCGGATTTCCAATACCAAGATGGTGGGAGCCGTCACTCATAGCTGGATGAGACACGTGTCAGCATCATACGGCCATGCTTATCACATATGGATAAAGAAAATTAATAGGATGAGTGTGTTACACTGTTACTATACACTGAATGATTACAAAAAAACTAGTAAGTCGAGAAATATGACGACTTGTGGGATGAATTTCATCCTTCCATCTTTAATCAGAAATATAAAATTGTATTTTGGAAATAAATAAAAAATTGATAGAAAGGAATTCCCCTCTAATGAGTCTTACTCAATATAAACACATATTAATCAAGTAAGTGAGTTATTTAATAGAATTAGATGGTTGTCAAAGGATCTAGTTTATGAGAGTTTAGGTTTATTTGCTTTTGAATCCATAAATTTCAAGTTTTAAGTAACAAGCTTGAACTGTTATCAACCCAATTTTCAGAACTTCCTCATATGTGTGACTAGCCTGTTTAATCTTTGATGTCCTCATGACACAAGCCTGTTGAAGATTTACGTTTGTTTATTAGAAACACCTAGAGGTACTAACAATGCACTTAGGGGTGTACAAAATCGAACCAAACCGCAAACCGAAAAAAACTCGACTAGTGGTTTGGTATTGGAAAAAAAAACCTGACTATATTTGGGTTGGTTTGGTTCTAAACTAAAAAAAAATCAACCCGAGACCAAACCAACCCGACATTATATATGTAGTTTTAAAATTTTATTTTATACATAAAAATATTTACTTTGATATAATTTTAAAATATTTCTTATACTATTTCATAGTTTTTATCATTTAATATATTATTTCAAGTTTAAAACTTAGAATTCGGAATGGTCCAATAAAGATTATAGTTCATAGATGTTGATGATTATAATAAAACTTAAATAAAAATACAAATTAATACTAATGCAAAAAAGAAAAATCAATTCAACACTAAGAATGACAATAATATTGAATATTTGTTCTTTAGTTTTACATTGATTTTATCACGACCCAAACCGTCGTGATTGGCACCCACACTAATACTCCGACGGGAGAACTACTACTGCAACCCAAACCAAACAAATAATCTAAAAACTAAGGCAGAATAGTCAATTACTAAGGAAAGACAATAGAGTTCCCATAAACTCTAAACATAAGTTCAACAATAAACTAAAGTAAATGCGAAAGAATTAACCTAGAGCTTGAAGATCAATGTACCAAAACATTCTAACAATGAACCAAGTCTAAACAAGAAGTGATACAATTCTCAAACTAATGAACTAATCAACTAACTATAACAAATGTCTAAGTCCGGAAATGGTGGACATAGACGAAAGAGAATCCCATGGCAGCTCGGAAGAATTGGTTCACTCTTGAATTTGAAGCGACAGTCACTGATCTTCTAAGTGAGGTCTGTCAGTAGCCGCTT